ACATACAAAGCAAATAAACCCAATGTCTTCCACCCTGGATCACACACTCATACAATGGAACTGCTGTGGGATAAAACCCAACTTGAATCAACTCCTCATCCTCCTTGCAATATTGAATCCTTCTATTATCTGTTTACAAGAAACCCACCTTAATGAAAATGAAAACATTACAAACTACACCTCCATACAACTTCATTTGTAAAAGCAGCTATGGAGCTTCAGGTAGCACCTCTGTACTTGTAAAAAAAAGTACCCCAAAGCCATATTGCCCTGAAGACTATAAACAGTTGCTATAAAAGCTTCCCTCAAAAAACTATCATCATATACTCCATTTATAGTCCACCCACTGATTCTATAGATTAAAATACTTTAGACAATCTACTTAGACAACTCCCAAAACTATATGCCATAACGTTATCTGGGGTTGCAAAAACACCAATCAGAAAAGCAAACATATGGAAGCCTTCATAAATAGAAACAATTTATCTTTACTCAATAACCTTATCCTCACCCACCAAATGGCACATACTCTGCAATCAACCTAACTCTAAGTGATCCCATAACATATCACGAGTACAGTTGGGAAGTCTATGATGATACCTTAAGCAGTGACCATTTCCCAATTAGGAAATTCTGGACCACAACTGGATGAGAAAACTCCAATTTGGAACCTTAAAAAATCAAACTGGGAGGACTTCAAAAACCTATGCTTACTCAAACTTATATTGGAATTCAATACAAATAAAGATCACATCACTCATTTCACCAAAACATTACTAACAATAGCTGAACAATGCATACCAAAATCAAAAGCCAAATTCTCTAAATATAACAGGCCATGGTTTGATGACGAATACAAGAGAACCATTAGACAGCATTGTGCTGCTCTCCATAAATTTAAACTACATTCAACAATGAAAACCTGAAAAACTATTCCTCAAATAACTATGATGTACAATTTCAGGATATTTAAAAGAAGAGAATAAAAGAAAAAGTTAAACTTCCATTCAGACAATAAGGAAGACTACAACCAGGCTTTTTCTTTATCTGAACTAATAGACTTTCTCAAAAGAAATCACACAACTCGGCAGTGGGTCATTTTTGAGATCAGCTGCCAATTTGACTTTATCAAACTAATCAGACTTACTATTAAGACAGGAGTAAATAGTTGTCATCAACATAGCTTCATGGAGTTTTAGAAATGGAAACCTCCTTGCAATGATGTGTAATAAAGAAAAATAAGAGTAAAGGAAGAAAACCCAACTCTAAATTGAAACTATACAAGGCATTGCTTTTTGAATTTTGTGAATTAACACATGTATTGTTATTGATTATCCTGATGTAACATCTGCTCATTTGCTGAAAGCTGTCTTCATGATAGAAAATGAAAATAAAAGAAAATTGACACTATTATGACTGGGTGTTCAAATAACTGAAATTGACAGAGGCAGGGTTTGAATTCAGAAAAAGGTTGCTGCACATTGATTTTCTTGCTAAAGTAAAATACATGAAAATTGATTTTTTTTTTTAAATTTTCTTATGTAGAAAAATAAGTAGAGAAATAACAGAAGTATATGTGTGTAAATTTCAATATTGAAGTGTTGATTTTTATCTTCATTAATAGAGAACATTAATGTATATCAAGTGTTTGGACCTTTTTTTGCTTCTGTAAATTTAGTGGGACAAATCAGTTAAAAAAACTCACTTCTTGTGGCCTTGGCTTTTCTTGTAAACTATAGGTTTTCTCTTTTAGAAAAACTTTTCTAGAAAAGTGTTCTTCACTGAACATGTTTTCATATTTTATTTTGTACATGGTTTTTATTATTTTAATTTTGTAGGAATGATCCAAATAAGTCCATTAACTACTTATATAAACAAAACTTAGAATTATTGAAATTTGATTCCAGATGGTTAAAAAGAATCTTGAGTGCTATCAGGTAGGAATTAGGTACAGTAGATTTCTTGAAGTTTAAAAATTCCTCAGTTGATGCTAAACTTTGTCCATTGAGCAGAAAAATCCTTATGTAGTTTTTGATACCAAATATATTTTAAGAATATTTTTTCTCTCACTTAACAAAAAATAAAATGAGTAATCATTTGAAATATTTACTAAATAATCTGTATTATGTATAATACTGTCATCTGTGGGTTAAATAACTGTATAAACTGGGATTTGTAGCCTTGGATGCCCTCCAGTCTAAGAGAAGGAAAACTCTTAATTTCAAATCATAGATAAGGCAATGGGGAAACCATTCAACTTTCCCAAGGATGTATTGCAATTCAGAAATAATAAAGAAAAGGAACCTGTGGAGAGCCATGATCAACTAGATCTTGAATGGACATGTCATTAAAAAAATCTGTCTGTGAGTTATGTAGAAGAAATATTTTTTATTTATAACCATGGAGAATTCAATGGGAAATGACACCACTTTCTTTCCCAAGGATACATGGTAATTCAGAGATAATAAAGAAATTGAACTTGTGGAGAGTCATGATCACCCAAATCCTGAAGGTACATGGCATTGTAATAAAATGACAATTTTAGTATAAATCAGTCAAATGAGATTTAAACAAATGTTTACTTAAATTTTTGTAAACATTCATAATGAATATTTGCAATCTAATCATATTTTGTGAACATCATTACTTTTATTTGAAATTGAATTGTTTTTTTGTTTATGTTCTGTACTGATGCTGCAAATGTTATTTTTAAATATTGCATATTAGATCTCAAGGTTATGTTCTGAATTTGGTTAAATTTTCTGGAAATATCTCAGAAATGATTGGATATAATAGTTTTAATGTAAATAATGCAAGTAATCATAATACCTCATCTCAGAGACAGATATAATACTTTTCCTGATTGTAAAAAAATTATTCAATTATTAACTTTGTTTTCCTATCCCATTATATAAAGAGAATCTTTTAAAAACTCTATTACCAATAAAGGATCATTATAACAGCAGAAACACTAATCTTTGAAATATTCCCAGACTTTCTCTGAAATTATTTTGAGGTTTATGTGAGCTTTCAATATTTCAAAATTATCACTGTCAAAAAATTGTTCAAGACCCCTTTACATAATGTATTATGCTAAATTTATTTGTTTCTTTTAACATTTGTTTTTTTAGCATAATTTGGCTATATTGCTATGATATGTAACATAATGGTAGCTTGGTAGCCTTTTTACATAGTCTTGTTAGTATGTAAGCAAAACATTAGATTTGTAAATACAAATCTAATGTTTTGCTTCCTCAGTGTTTCCTATTTGTTCTTTATCCTATTCTACCATTTTATATATATATATATATATATATATATATATATATATATATATATATATTTGGAAAAAAACAAACCAAAAAATCCTTAAATGCAATTATGATGTTTAAAATGAATGAAATGTCGACGTCTGACGTTTCGGTTTAATAAACCTTCTTCAGGACAATATTCATTAAAATACAATTCAGTTCAATTTGACAAAGACGATGGACATAAAAAACAAGTCTTATAACTGAAAATTTTTAAAATGATCAGCTTTCCGTTTAGCATGGTCACGTTGTCGTCACATGGGCGATGCTTTCAAAACGTATTCTTAAAAGTTTTTGATTATTTTGAATGACATTCATAATTGCATTTAAGGATTTTTGGTTTGTTTTTTCCAAATTTTTCTTCATTCTGTCGGATCTATATCCATTTACATTTGCTTACATATATATATATATATATATATATATATATATAAATTGAGTAAAACATTTCCTGATAATGATCAGATATCAATTGACATCAGATCATTTTCATGCAAAATTAATACTTGCTCTATAATTTTACTTGATAATATTTTATACAAGAAATCATGAGATTCAACATTACTTCACACTATTCCAAAGTATTTGGCTCTCAGGGGAGGAAGTTCAATCAGGAGAAGAACTCCAAATTAGGAAAGAATGTACTCTATACACACTGTGTTTGTATAATATATAGAGTAAAGTTTGGTTGAGAATCTGGTGGGATAGTAATTTTTTTTTAATCATTTCACCCAATGCAAGGGGTTATTGAGTATGAGAGAATGAGAAAAAAACACGATTAAGAAAGAAAGAAAAATAAAAGAACAGGAATTAAGAAGGCATAAGATAACAACATATATATATATATATATATATATATATATATATGAAAATTTGGAAAACTTTCAATGTCATTTGAGAAAGAATTTTATTTCAATTTGTTAAAGTAAAATTCTTTTTTGATGATACAGACTCATTGACAGAACATTGAGTTTTCCAGATTGTCTTTTATATAAATGAAGTATATGATGTCTGTGTGCCCTTTTAAATAATTATAATTTTTGTAACTATCCATGATAAAATTAATCCGTAAATAATAATTTTTTTAAATTTATTGTCAGTATTGTTCATTTTCAACATGACCACTATTGTTACATATACAAAAGGTAATATGTTTCTGTAGTTCTCAAAAAATGTGGAACTAGTACAATCTACCCTGGTGGTTGAAATAAAGGGTTCAGTTTGAAATTCCAATCACCTGAAGAAGGTTGGAGCGTACAATGGCTGAAATGTGAATATGGCCATAAAGATGAAGACAACAGACCGAATAATGTAAATAGTGTAAATAATAAAAAGAATTCAGAATTTTTGTCATCATTAATAATGACATTTGAATTAATAAAAAAGTGTCTCTCCATTTTCTATTGAAAAGATGACGTAAAGGAAATCCTGAAGAAATTACTACATTTTGTAAAAACTGTTAATCTCGAATTCAAATTTATGCTTAAAATATCAAATTTAAAACCATTTTATTAAATAAACGTTGTAGAAGAATAATTTATTGTAAAGTTCTATTTAATAAATAGATTTTTTTTTCCATTTTTATTAAATTGTTTGTGATATTATTAAATGAATAAAATGTTTGTGATTTCAGAGTGACTATTGTTGGCGCTATTTACCTAGCAATGAGAACATTGTTGTGTAAAGAAGATGTCTTCCAGGCAAGGATATGAAGGGGATATACGTCAAAGGAAGATGGTTCCAAGAATCGCACGTGATGACTCTCTTGATAGTAATGATCTTGGAACACGGAGAGAAATAAAAGCTACAACAACTTATAACCATTGGGAAGATAGTCCTACAAGAACTGATTCAATGCCAGAGGAAATACCACTGACAGATTTCAGTGATGGGACCTTAGGTCAGCTGAAATCCCTCTCTGGAGATGGAGCAAATAGTTTATTATCTGAACATAATGTTGATTTGACTACAGATGTGACTGCTCCTTTGTTATCGTCACAAGATGATGATATTGATGGAGATCTTATTGTCAACAAGGATGAAGCTTCTTCTGAGGTTCAAACTGTATCTGAAGAAGATGAAAGTGCTCTGAGCATTGGTCTGCAGGTGTTTATACCTTATATTATTGCAGGATTTGGGACTGTAGGTGCTGGAATGGTTTTGGATATTGTGCAGGTAAAGATTTCTTTCTTTCCTTTTCTGTTTTTAGCAAATGTTATTCACTGCACAAGGAAAATTATTCTTTTACTATAATATCTGGTTAACTATAGCAAAGAAAATGGCGACTTACCTCGTCAAATCAAGCAACAGCGCGTCACGTGTATCCTATGACAGAAAATGTGGTGAAAAAGAGAATTACTTACCAAAAAGAAGGGCACGTATTCTGCATGACATGCTGAAGATGGAATATTTAAATTAAAAAACAAGTCTATCGCAGGAGTCGCTATAAAAGTATTTTGATATGTAAAACTTGAATGTCCTCTCCCAGCTGTCGACAAATGGAAAAAATGCTCGGCTGATAAAAGCAGTTGGTGTTCTTGAATGGAGGAGAAATCAGGTATTTTGGCTACTGCGTTTGTTAGAGAGTGAGTTATTATTCTGACTGGTTGCGTGCATTGTGATTTGTGAGATAGTACACCTGCGAATCGAGTTTTCGCCATTTCTTTCTGCCCCCGATGTTCGAGTCTGAATTTAGTGATTTATTCTCTGCGCTGTGGAAATAATCTGTGACAAATATTTCCTTTGCAATCCCAGATTGCTTACATTAACTGGTGTCAACATTTATGCATTTTGACTTGGGATCAGAGTGTAGTATCTTTCCAATTCCCAGCCTTTTTGAGTTGCAATCAGTTACTTTTTATCAGAAAAACCTACATAATAATATTAGGAGGGAAGGATTGATTGATTATCAACCCTTTGTGAGTTTTTTAAGGCAAAACATATCTGGATTGTAATTTTTATTTTTTTAGTTAAATATTTTTGAGAATAACAATGATTTTTCTAGATACATCCTACTACTTAACTGTAGCCGGGAGGAGGTTTTTAGTTGTACCTTTCTCAAGGGCAGTTATCTATAAGTGAATGTTAGGAGAGAAATTAGGGGAAAGTGATGAAGAAGGGGACAAACATGATGTGATGGAGAAGAGGTAGAAAATAAGAAAGCTTGAGAAAAATGGAAAATTAGATTGAAGAAATATCAACTATGTCCGGAAAGTATCCAAGCTATTGAATATTAATGAAAAATTAGTCTACCTATGATGATGGTACCTTAGTCCTCTTAAAGCTAATCTTCTTGAAACCTCTCTCATTAATCCCAGCATCCCTTCCATTGTTAAAACCAATCTGCAAGGTCCTCTTTTGTGATTGACATCAGTTACCTCATTGTATCCATCTTAATCTCATCTGTGGTGTTTCTGTGGTGAGTTTAGCTTTGAGAAAACACAGAATCCACAGAGAACCAAATCTAGACTGTCATGGGGGAGCTGAGAGATCCAAATAAAACAATGTTTTGCCAAATATATTCTGTATGAAATGTGAGGAAACCATTGACATATAGTATAACCCTACAGGAGAGTATCTGTTATTAGTGTAGTAAGGGCACTTCTGATTGGTTGTTAAATTATACACAAACAGTTCTTGAGATATTAAAAATGGCCAAATACATTTCAAACTGACTTATATACACATATAGACAGTGGCATTTCTAATAATCAGAATGTGGTTGAGTCGTCCTTGGGGACCAAAGTTAATGTGTTGTGTCCCTGGAAGGGGAGGCCAAACTCAAAAGTGTCTCCGAGGTGAATTTTTGTTTTTAGGCTTCAATGTGCTGATTTATACAACTTTCAGAAATTAAATTATATATATATATATATATATATATATATATTGTAAATGAAAGTCTCTCTCAAGAAGCTATTCTTTTTTAGGTTTTACTATTGTAACATATTTAACATAGAAGAATCCATTTTTAATAATAAGTAGTATCAGACATAATTTATGGAGTATTAACTGTGGTTTGGATACTTTGTGTGAGTTTTTTTTTTTTTAACATTAAACATATATCAACTATACTTCTATATTATAGAGTATATTAAAGTGTGCGGAGTCAACTTAGAGGACAGACAAAAATATGAGTGAGGGGCATGGCCTCTATAGCACCCCTCCTGTAGAATCGCCTATATATATATATATATATATATATATATATATATATATATATATATATATATATACGCTTACACATATCATACTCACTCACTCCCTAAGAACCAAATAACACCCACACAAACACTAAACAGAGACACATCCCCTCTCCAGGACCAATAAAACTGTCAAAATGACCACAGGAATTCAGAGAAGTATAAATCCATTCAGCTCTTATCTCAAATAACAACTTAAAAGAGACTGTTTGACCAACACAAGGAATGTTAAAAGATTCATGTTAAAAAGATAAAAAAATAAAAAAACAAATGAAAACTACAGACAAAAGTTCATTTTCTCCAGCAAGACATTAATTTCTGTAGTTTACTGCTACCAGCAAGCAGAAATATTTCTCCTCCCAATGATGGCCATTTCGGCCGAAACTAGTCGAGGAATCTAAATGAAATAATAATAAAAAAAAACGAAAGAATATTAATCTACAACCCAGTGTGTCTGAAGATTTTAATTTTTTAATATTTTTTTATTGTTCAATAAAAGATTAAGGTGGAGATGGAAAGGCACAAAAATTGCAATATATTAAAAATTTTTATGTAGAGATAGAGTAAAAGAAAGATAAAAAAAAGAATGCAGTCAAAAATAGTTATGCATTGCTTATTCCTTTTTGGCATATGAAACTAATTCATGTTTGTATTAATATTTAGAGAAAAATATATACAGACAACAAATGTTTGAAAAGATAAAGCAAAGAATAAGAATGGCTGAAAGAAGAGCAGAGATATAAGATAGAATTTATTAAATGAATCCATCAAAACATTAATTCACAGTAATGATTACAGGTAGTGTGTGTGTCCTGTAAACCATTAAGGTCATACAGACCCCACATTTATTGCAGCCATAGTGGCAGTGGTGTGTCAAGATAACCTGATGGATCCCCACTCTCTTCAGGATGGTTTTGAATCAAGACTGGTTGCCACCTCTAGGCAAACCTAGACGTAGTAAACAGTCTAAAATGCTGTTTAACCCACAGGTGGAAGAAGATGGATTCATACCTTTCCAAAGGCAGTGAACAAAACATAATCAAACAGGAATTGAACTCGGCACACCTAATTCACTTTGTGCTGATATCCATTATACTATCTGCTGCACCTTGATAGAGTGACATATAGAGTGACAGCAAATTCTGCTTATAGAGAAAAAAAACAAAATAGTTATAGTTCTATTTTAGCACATTTGAACTCTAGTATTGATTTAGACAATGTTTAAGCTCTTGTCACTACAAATTGTCTTTATTATCACTCCCCCCACCCCCACAGTTTGAATGTAGTCATTTTCTGCACTAAAAACTAAATATTTCTATATGGAAAAAATCTGATAGTTAAGATCAAAAGTTGATATGGCAGCTCAATTCCACAATGAAATAAACAAATCGCAAGTCCAAATTCAAAGATCCAGAGGGAGAAAGAAATGTTGAAATCATGAATTGCAGGTCCAATGTCACAAATCCCAATACACGTTAAAGGTCAGAAATCCAACACAAGGTAGAAAAATAAACAACTTCCTAATTTGAGTACACCAACCACTTTTATCAATGGAACAATTTTTTCATTGGCCTACAGGTGGGAGAGGACACAGGAGATTAGCATATCAAAAATGCATTTATGGCAACACCTGTGACTGACTTGTTTCTATTTTGGTTATTTTGTCTTTGGCATATCGTACAGAACATAAGTTTCTGCTCTGAAAGTTTAATCCTCAAAGAATTCAGGACTAATACATTCAAGTAAGTTCAACAAAAAAGATAATACATAATACAAACAAATAATCATAATATTAAATCATTTATGTAACTGGGTTACATGTCACCAAATAAAACACGTCTGTAAATTTATTAGCATCTTTTCAAAAATTGATATAGCAGCTCAATTTGACAATGAAATAAACAAATCGCAAGTCCAAACTCAAAGATCCAGGCGCAGAAAGGAATGTTAAAATCATGAATTGCAGGTCAAATGTCAAAAATCCCAATACATGTTAATAGTCAGAAATTCAACGCACAAGGTAACAGGCACTCGCAAGCTGATGGACGTAGGTAGAAAAATAAGCCACACCAATTCAAGAACACCAACCACTTTTATCGACAGAACAATATTTTCATTGGTTGACTGTTGGAGAGGACAGACAATATTAGCATATCCAAGATGCATTTATGGCAACAGCTGCAACTGACTTGTTCCTATTTTGGTTATTTTGTCTTTGGCATATCATACAGAACACAAGTTTTAGCACCCAATCTGTATGTTGTGCATTAAAAATCAGAAAGGGATTGTCAGTGGTCAGCCCTTAATGAAAGTATTATTAATGGAATATGGCTAAGTATAATGATTATTCTGCTTTCCCTGAAAAAAAATTACATTTTCTTCAAATTTGTTTTTATTGCTAACAACCAAATAGCTATTATATGTTTTGTCATTATGTGGTCATATTAATAAAATTGAAAACTGTTGTTGCTTTCAATGGTATAGAAGAGTATTGCAATCTCAGTGGTATACTTCTTGTTGTGGTGCTAAGTTATTGTTGTTGATGTATATGTCAAAAGTCTAGAGCTACTTGTCAAGACTCTGTTGTCAGAGAGCCCCTGGGATATATCTTCTGTGAGAGAAAATCTTCAGAATGGAACTTCTAATAGCATTGGTCAAGCTGAGAAAAAGACTGTAGATAAAGAGTTTAGTTGTAAATTTAACACCTTCTTTCTCCTTACTTGGAATATCAATTCAAACATCAAATAATTTCAAAGCACAAAACAATACTGTAACTAAAACCACACTATGTAGGGAAAGGAAAGTTGGTTAGTCTTTTTGTATGTTGTTTGTGTGACTAATACATCACTACTTTCCAGATATGTGGATTCAAGCTTATTATTGTGTCAATGTATCTATTCCTAACTATAGGAACTCCACCCCTCTCTCTCTCTCTGGGCTGCTCTATGGTTCCTCTATCTGTCTTTCTATCAGTAT